TCCCCACGTCCCCATCCCTGCGTCCTTCTGCTGTTCGTGGTCCCCACGTCCCCATCCCCATGTCCCCATGCTGCCGGTGGTCCCCACGTCCCCATCCCTGCGTCCTTGTGCTGTTTGTGGTCCCCACGTCCCCATCCCCATGTCCCCGTGCTGCCGGTGGTCCCCGTGTCCCCGTCCCCCCGCCGCTGATGGTGCCCATCTGGTGGCAGGAGTCTATCAGCGACTTCTACTGGTACTACTCGGGGAAGGACGTGATCGACGAGCAGGGGAAGCGTAACTTCTCCAAGGCCATGGCCGTGGCCAAGCAGGTCTTCAACAGCCTGACCGAGTACATCCAGGTGAGCCCCCCGAGCCCCCGTGGCCCCTCACCGAGCACAGCCAGGTGGGATGGACCCCGCAGCCCCCCACGATGGCCCTGGGGGTCCAAGATCCTTGGGGTCCCCAGGAGTCTTGGTGTTCTGGGGATCCTGGTGTCCCTGCATGTTCCTGGGAGGTCCCCAAGGACCCCGGTGTCTCTGGGGGTCCTGATGTCCCTGGGAAGTCCCCAAGGACCCCAGTGTCCAAGGAGTCCCCATGTCCTTGGGAGGTTCCCAAGGACTCTGATGTCCCTGGGGGTCCCCTGGGGGTCCTGAAGTCCCTGGGAGAAGACCCCAGTGCCTAAGGGGTCCTGATGTCCCCAGGGTGCCCAAGAGCCCCAATGTCCCAGGGATCCCAGTGTTCCTGATGTTCCCTGGGGGGGTCCCAGGACTCCCCGGGGTTCCCATTGTCCCCAGGGGTCCCCATGGGGTCTCTGGGGGTCCCCGGGGCCCGCAGTGCCAGCGCCTGCCGCCCGCAGGGTCCCTGCACGGGAAACCAGCAGAGCCTGGCCCACAGCCGCCTCTGGGACGCTGTCGTCGGCTTCCTCCACGTCTTCGCCCACATGATGAAGAAGCTGGCCCAGGTGGGCACTGGGAGGGCACTGGGAGTACTGGGAGCCCCCCCACATCCCCTACTAACCTGCTGCCCCCTCCTTGCTGTCCCCAAGGGGGGGAGGGTTGGGGACACCCAGGTCCCCAGTGGCATCAGCAGCCCCCCCACGACCCCCCAACCCATCCCGTTGGCCCCGGGGCACCCTAAGGACCCCCCAGTTTGGGGGGGGACCCCCCGACTGACCCACGTCCCCTTGCCCTGCTCTGTCCCACGTCCCCCTCTGGCTCCCCAACCATCCCCGTGTCCCCATGTCCCTGTGCTGCCGGTGGTCCCCATGTCCCCATTCCTGTGTCCTCGTGCTGCTGGTGGTCTCCATGCCCCCATCCCCGTGTCCTCGTGCTGCCAGTGGTCCCCATGTCCCCATTCCTGTGTCCTCGTGCTGCCGGTGGTCCCCACGTCCCCATCCCTGTGTCCACTCTCTCCATGCCTCCATCCCCGTGTCCCCGTGTTGCCAGTGGTCCCCACGTCCCCATCCCCATGTCCCCGTGCTGCCGGTGGTCCCCACGTCCCCATTCCTGCATCCTTGTGCTGTTTGTGGTCCCCACATCCCCATCCCTGTGTCCCCATGCTGCCGGTGGTCCCCATGTCCCCATCCCCGTGTCCCCATGCTGCCGGC